ACCTTAGTGATCTTCTTGCTTCCATATTTTCATCTATAATTGTTAGATATTGTATGAATTGGATTGATTTTGGCACTGTTTGTTAGTTGAGTGAAATTGTCCCCGCGGTTACAAACGCGTAATTTCTTCAATCCTTATTCGAAGAGGAGAGATAGGGTGATTCATTCAAGATAACATTGTTGTTGATTGATATATGTTTTGCATTGCTTTAAGACTTTAGTTCTTATGTGTTGTTTGATTCTAACCATTGGGAACCTGTGTCTGGTTGCATTCCTTGTGTTTAAGCCATTTAATCTAATTTCAGAGAAATCTTTTTGTTGATAAAATCCTCTTGTTTCATCAAGAGGCATACTTTGCTTGAGGGAAAACAAGAATCTAGTTGGGGAGAGTTGTTAGATGCCCAACTTTGCTTATTTGATCTATCAAATGTGAGCATCTTTCACTCCTTTTTGTAAAGAAAGTGTTTGAATCACTCTTACTTTAGTTGGTTTGCAACATATTATGAAAATATCTTGGTTCCTTTGATTTGTGTGTTATTTTGCAGGAATTAGGCATGAAAAAGTGAAGATTAAGACACAAGAAATAGGACAAAGAAACCAAGTCAGCATGCAAACAACAACAAGTTCGCTGGGCGAACTTGCTAGCGAAGCTGCCACCAAAACTTCACAAAGTTCGCTAGGCGAACTATGTAGCGAAGGCCAGGAATCCAAAACAGTAAGGAAAGGGCCATAAACTCGCTAGGCGAAGGAGGAAGCGAAAAGCTCACTAGGCGAAGAGGTAGCAAACACTTCCAGACTTGAGACAGTAAGGAAAGGGCCATAAACTCGTTGTGCGAAATTTGCAGCAAAGGCTTCACTAGGCGAACATTTCTTCGCACAATGAACATTTGGATTTCTGTTTGGGGAGCTTTCACAAGACATAGGCACTTCAGATGCCATTTTGGGTGTTCGCTAGGCGAACAATTCGTTCGCACTGCGAATGTGACAGCTCAGCAGCCACTTCTATAAGTAGTATGAGCTACTTTTTGTAAAAATATCTAATTTTTTGTACTTGCATTTGAGAGGAGTTTCAGACTTAGAAAACTCATTCCTCCATTTCTCATCATCTCTTAACAATATTTCATAAAAATAAGGTGGATTCCCATCCAATCTCGATTATTCGACTCGGATGTTGATCAACCTTCTTCCGAAACTTGTTGCTCAAGCTATTATTTAAATGATTGGCTAAATCCCTCTCTTGTCAAGGTTAGAAGTAGTTAGTTCAGATTTTATGTATTCCATTTGATCTTTTGTATGTGAACAAATGTTGTGATCAATATAGATGAAGTTATTTGCTACTCTTTGTACATTTATGGTTTGGATTGCTTTAGACATGAACTTTCCAAGTCTTGACCTAATATCCTCATCTATCAACTATACAAATTCTATACATAGGTTTGAAAGTTGATATCCGCTTTGTATTGATCTTAATGCTTATTATTTCGATTGTTACTTAGAGAGATCATTTAACGGTCGAAACAATAACATTCACGAAATTGCTTTAGAAATGAACATTTTTGCGAGGATACGCGGTTATGTTGGTTAAAACTTCGTTCTCATATTTGATCGGTTGAGTATGTTTAGGACGGACTAGCGAACCCTAATCTCGACATGTTTTTATCAAACTTAGACCGAATTTTATTCAGCTTTAATTCTTGCAAACTTTAGTTACAAAAATTGAAACCATTCTAAAAACCCCCTTTCTCAAGACATTAAACTGTTGAACGACAAGCATCTATATTCTCATCAATCCCTGTGGAGACGATAAAACACTACCCCAAAATACTTTCTAACAGCCCTCGGCATACTTCTACTGCGAAATATCATGATGCACATCACTCTCTTCACCCTTTTTACTTTTATTATTTCCCCTATTTGCCTTGAATTTCACTGGTGGTGGACACATGAGAGATGTGGATGAATTTGTTAGTTCCCAAACTTTTTTCTTTATCACCCTATAACCTACAATATCCAGTATGTTGAAATACCTCTTCAACTCTTCACACTCTTCTTCTAAATCCAAATGTGTCACACTATCTTTATAAGTAGCCTCATGCTCTTCAATGTATAATTTCTTCCAAAACACATGAATTGATTCTTGTAGAATAAGCTCACCTTCTATTTGAAGATCTGCTAGTTCATACGCACAAGGTAACCCATGTGTTGTTCTAATGAAGCAACCACATGCAACTTTGTCTGAACCAATAAATTTTACCATTTCCGATACACTGTCTTGAAACGAAGCCATGATATCTGGAGTAAAAAGGAGTGTTATACCAATGCTCAATGTTGGCAATACTTTTCAAAAATGATACTCTAATTGAACCTAATTGCAACTTCAACATGGTGTTCACAGCTTCCGAACTTCTACATAAATATCCCTTGGTAGTTGTAAACATATTTTAGTTTCCAGTGAGCAAACTCAATCCTAAAAAAATCATAAATAGAAAAAGGATGTCATTATTTGATTATTAGTAATGCACTCATATATAAAGTCACATCGATGTACTTATTTGTTGTCCTGTTCCCTAAACGAGTGACTTTATTAGTCCAACCAGTAACAAATATTTCTTTATAGGGTATCAACCAAGTTCCATGCACATACTGAACAAATTTAGGAATATCAACGCATACAATCTCAAAATGATTTAGGTATACTAAAAATTCAGACTTCATATTCGAATATATGATGTTATTCTATAAATCCATAACATGATCATGCCTATGCAATTTGACATACTCCTTATACTTCATACTAAATTTTTTTGAATTATGGAACAGACACAACAAATTATTTAAGTTTGGAAACACAACTTTCACAAAATTCATCAACGTCAGTTCACGGTCCATAACCAAAACCTTTGGTAGCAACTTCTCGGAAGCGAACAACTCTTTTAGCTTCTCTAGTGCCCATGTAAAGTTTTTCTCCCTTTCATATTTCATATAGGCAAATCAAATAGAAAATGTTAACTTCGTGGATGTAACACTAACAATCTCAAGTAGTGGTAGCCAATAGGTACCTGTTAATTTTGTATGTACAATAAAAAATCAACAACTTTTAACCCAGAATCAAATAAATGAAAATAGAAGCAATTGGAGCATGCAGTACCTGTTTATTTTGTATGTATAATAAAAAATCAACACCAAATGAAACATGTTCAACAACTACACTGAATCAGGAGGCGTCCAAAAGATATCAGTAACAACATTTGAAGTGTCCCTATTTCTGGTCCAGCACATATGTTTATCTTCATGAATTAGACTCAACAGATGTTGCATTTCAGTCAGCGAACCTCTCTTACTCGTCTTGTATGTATATCTTTTCTTATACACTTTTATACCACTCGTCAGATTTTCTTGATCTCTATCTTTCAAAACAAGAATTATGTATCTAGGAGGCATAATGTATATGGTCAAGTCATTCACGAACTTCCTTTCGTTGTCTTTTAAACAACCTAGTACGTTATGACTATTTAAGTCCTTAACTAGTATATGATTGTGAAACCTAACCGTAACCTTTCAACTACTTCCACTTGACACAAATCTCAGCATAAATGAACATTTCACTTTCATACTATAACTATCTTTAGACACATTCTTTCTTTTGTAGTTTTCTCCTCTCTAACAACCAATAATCAAATTAACTTTTCTCCCTCTGATCCCATTTGTGGTATCAGAACGAATAGTAACAACAATAATATCATGTTGTTTACCAACAGACTATATCTATGCCAAAACGTTAGTTCGAGAAAGAAAAATATGACATTTACAACATATACACCATAAATTATTAATGTTAGGGATATCATAAGCCTATTAATTTTTGAACATGTTAAAAATTAAACATTTAAGCCAAATATACAACGTCAGTGGTGAAAAAATATTTAAACTTGCAGGGGAAGCATCAGAATCTAGATCGCACAAATGAAGCATATTGCGCTATCATATTTTTGAGTTTATGCGAAAAATCCGATATATCAAAATTTTCAAAAAAAACGTTATTTTCAATGTATTATAAATATTTTGAAATATCCAATAGAAATGTATTAAGCTTTTTAAAACCTCTGCTACGAACACAAACCCCTATCAAGAAAATGCAGATTTAAAAAAAGAACTGATAAAATCTCATGTTGGATTTTTAAAATTCCGATAAAAATGCATAAAATTCTCCTTTTGTGAAAATTTTTGTATCTGATATCTCGATATAACTAGCATATTTTTTGTTTTTACCAACTATTTACATAGTAATTTTTTTACATAATGTGAATTTTTAAAAAATAAATAATGCAAAAAGATATTTTTATTATTATGAAAAATAGAGAGGTGTTTGGTCAAGTTGGAGGTGACACGATAAAATCTAATTTGTTAGTGATTGATTTATACGTCACACAATAAACCAACGAATTTATTGAATTAACTAAATAATTTTTTTATAAGTTAGATTTAGTAGATTTTTAAAATAAAAATAAAAAAATAGAACATGCACCGACTATAAAAAACATTTTTACACATATCAGTTTTTATTTTTAAAATACTAATATAATTTAATAAATTTAATTTTTTTTATTAAATATCAGTATAATATTAATTTACACTAAAAATGCACCGGCTTTAAACTCTTTTAAAAATTAAAAACAAAAAAAAAAAGGCATGAAGGGAATTTACTCTCAATCAACCTAACTTAATAAACGCAAAAGAAAATAAATAAATAAACGCAAAGGATCTTAAATTGACATACGTGTATCCTCCAATGAAAGACACCCACGTAAGACCCCCAACTTTGACATCCTTGTTGAGTTCACCACTACTACTTGGTAAACTGTTTTGTTGGAAACTCTTCTGAATTCTCTCTCTCTTTCTCTTCCTTCACCGTTTTCTCCTCCTCCTCCTCCTCCTCACATCCTAATCACTTCTCAACTTTCTCTTCATTTTCTCTTTACTTTCTTCATTCTCACTTCCACCATGACATCCATTATTACCCTTAACCAAAAACCCCTTCTCCATCTTTCACTCCTACTTCTGATGCTGTTTTCTTCTTCCACCGAATCCCTCAGATTCGAACTCCAATCTGGTTCAACCAAATGCATCTCTGAAGACATGAAGAGCAATTCCATGACTGTTGGCAAGTACTCCATCGTTAATCCCAACGAGGGTTATCCTTTACCCGATTCCCACAGAATCACCGTTAGGGTACATATATCAAAAATAAAGATCAAAACTTTTTCTTGCCCTGTATTGAATTTCTCTACTTTGATTCGAATTCAATTGTTTTTGGCTAATGGGTAATTCTATGTTTGATTTTTTTTAGGTGACTTCGTCTCAGGGAAACAACTATCACTATGGAGATCGTGTGCAATCGGGTCAGTTTGCATTTGTTGCAGTGGAAGCTGGAGATTATATGACTTGTTTCTGGGCTGTGGATAACAAACCGGAGGTGAAGTTGACTATTGATTTGGAATGGAAGACTGGTGTAGCAGCTAAGGATTGGTCTAAGGTTGCTAAGAAAGGCCAAGTTGATGTGAGTATTCAAATCTCTAATATGATATATTCCTCGATTAATTCGGTATCTTGTATATAGTATTGTGTTGTTACTTGCTAAATCTAGCGTGAGTTAGTACAATCAATCAGAAACTAGATATACATTTAAGTGAGGGTTTAATTAAACACTACTTACTAAATTTGTTTTACTGACATGTTTTTTGATTAATTGTGCTTGTTATAATCATTCCATGTTTCATTGGATTAGTTTTCTAGTGTTGAATTTTGGTTGTGTTGTTGATAAAAAGTCCCCCTCCCCAAAGATTTACGTACGCTATGTTTGGATCTGCGTTGGATTTTTATGAAATTGTAGTGAAATAGTGCAGCTGCACAGAAGCTTTACATTGTAGCTTCATGAATATTGCACCCAACTCATATTTGGACGGGGGATTTCCTATGAAGCGCGGATCTAAACATATGTTTAGTTGCATCCGCACATAGTTTTTTTTTTTTTAAGGAGAACTGATATGGACTGAACTGAGTGTTACTTTTGTGGCGTTTGTGGCCATGTTGAGATTTTGTGAGGCTGTGATATCTTGTGTTTGTGATCTGGTTCTTGATGACTATGTTTTATTAAGTTCCCTAGATATCTGATGTATTAGTGGCATCAGAAACTACTAATCACCAATTATGCATTGTCTGATTTTAATGGATGTTTCAGATTTTAAGTTTGGAAAACTGAATTTAAAAGAATGTACTAGATAAATTTGAAATGTGAACCGTCTGATCTTGATTAGATAGTCCATACTTGTTCGCTGCAAAGATTCTGTGACTGTAGGAATCCTGATCCAAATAAGTAGATATAAATGGAGTTAATATTTGTAGCCTTAATGGTAAAGATATAATAATGGGAGGGGATTTTATATTTCTAAACATGTTAAGCTTTTTATTGGCAGTGATTTTATATTTTCTACTGAGGTTATGGTAATCCCTAGATATCATTTTTGTGCCTTATTTTGGAGCAAATCTGAACCTTGTCAAATTCTAATTGTCACACTCATTTGTCGTGTGAGGAAGATATGACATATCTCCTCACAACTCTCTGGTTTTCAATTACTTTGATGAAATTGTAATAATGATTTTCATTCACATGAGCCAGGTAATGGAAATAGAACTAAACAAGTTACAAGAAACTGTTACTTCCATTCATGACGAGATGTTTTTTCTTCGTGAAAGGTAAACATGCACAATTTGCTGAAAGTCCTTTTGTACACTCGTGATATTTGAACATTGTTCTTACTTTTTAATAAAAAATACTAAATTCATAACATTGACATAGGATATCATAATACGCATCATTCTTATTTTTGTTTATGTATTTTCCTTTCCAGAGAAGAAGAAATGCACGAGCTCAACAGAACAACCGTCAAAAGAATGTTCTGGTTGAGTTTGCTTTCACTCTTTGTCTGCTTATCAGTAGCTGGGTTGCAACTATGGCACTTGAAGTCGTTCTTCGAGAAAAAGAAAATCATTTAAAATTGTGATAGTTTATTTTATATGTACTCTTGTAAAATATACCGGCATTAATTTATCCAGAGGATACGCGTAATGGTAGTCAGTTGTTAAATGCAAATCAGGTGTGACAAGATGAGTTTCAACGGAATTGATATACTGCAATTTGAGGGTTAAGCAAGATGGTGTTCGGGTGAAATTGCAATTCTGCTCAGTGCTCGATCTAGTGAAGCAATGATAGTTTGCCAGAAAATATCATTTCCTTTCCTGTCTTTTTGCCTTTTTACTTATTTTATTTCACATCCCAGGTGTGGGAGCATAATTTTTCATCTAAAAATTAATTAAGTTTAAAAGCTGTTTTGCGCTTGTTTCTTTAATGGATTAATAGTAGTTAAGAAGTAATTATATTTTCCTTGACGTTGAACTTAAATAGAACTTGGTGGTATGAGTTTTGAATCTTTTGATGCTAGTGTCTGCATGTGTGAAATAACGACTCAGTTGCTATACACGTACTCTGCAATATGTTTCTATACATGAATTTTCCTTGTGCCAGTTATTATTTTACTCTATTTGCATTTGTTTTGCTAGATAAAATATGGCCTGTAAATATAGTAAAATGATTGACTCGATAGGCACATTCATGTACGAATAATTTCATTCTAGCTCCAAAATATAGAACAAATGACACATCACCGTTATTTTCTTTTTTCCGTTCATTTCGCAATTCAGGCACAAGGGATTGTGACTCTACTTTTAAGTCTTGGTGGTACCAGTCCTCAACTTTATACTACATTTTTCCAGGGTAGAGAGCATAATCAAATGAAAACAGCAAAAACCATACCAGAATTGAGAAGACATTATACAGGAATAATAACTACTATTATTTTTATTAATTTTTTTAACAAAAAGATGAAAGCACAACACGGCAGAGTGTGCGATTGGTCTTTCTTCAATTAGTTTGTACACTTGAAACATATTAAACTTGTCCAACAACTTGTGTATGTAGCTCACTTGGATGTGAAGCGGGATTTAATGAGGAAGCAGAATTGGAATTCGTAATGGTTTTGCAGGTTTTCCAGTCAAGCTTTATCAATCCACAAATCTGGAAGCAATGGTAATGGCAAATAAATCATCTGAATTTCTGAGCATATCAATGCTCGTAAACATTTATGAAGCAAACAAATTCCAATGATGATCTGAAGGTAGATTTTCCTTGATCTTTTCAAGCCGCTTAAGGATCTCTATGAAATGAGGTCTTTGATTCATATCAGCAGACCAACACTGCTGCGTTAACCTGAGAAAATGCAAGACCAAAGTGCATAAGATTACCTATATGATTTAAGCCAAAAGCTGTTTTATTAAACATTTTATGTGAACATATTTACTTGCTGTAACTTCTAATAGCCTAATCTACAAAGTATTTCAGAATGCCTAATTAAGTTTGTTGATACAGCTGAGATCATTTATATACCCCAGCATTCTAATATGTAACTTCTAGTTGATGGATGTAAGTATATGGTGATCCATACCAATTGTTCTGTTTTTAGAAGTTTGCTACATATTGTATGAGAAACTGAAGTTATTGTATGGGATACAGATTTTCTATGTCTGGCAACTGTCTAGAGAGCTAACAATAAGAGTTAAATCATATTTAAGCTAGAGTGAGTTCATAGTTCTCAATATTCTTCCATATACAATAAAGGAGCGGAAAGCCATGCCCGTATCTGTTATTTTAATCATCTTTCTATCTCATAATGTCAATATGAATAAGATGATGACAGATTAAAGCATATATTGCTACGCAAAAAAAAAAATCAAAGATGCATATAAGTAAAATAAGCAGCAACAAACTAAGATGTCTTCTTTGATTTTAGGGAAACACACAGTAGTAAAAGCCTAGTGGTGGTGTTTTGGCTTAGTTATACAGAACAGAACATACAAACATACCTAGGAACATGAGCAATTGAAAATCTTAAACAAAATGAGTTTATAACATAGAAAAGAGTTCAAATCAATCTAAAGTCGGATGTTGAAAAAATGGGACGTCAAACTTAAAATCGTCATGGATATGATTAATTGTGAGGCTGCATAAGCAAACTAGGTAATGGAATATAATAAGACCCAGCAAACTAGGTGGACTTCAAAGATCAAACTGTACCATTTTTAAGACTCCGACTCTCCTTTTCGTATGCTAATCTAGATGAGAAAATAAGCTACGTCTACATTAGTTTAACCAGACCACATGTTGCGAACATTTGAGCAGATTTAGTTCAAAACTGTCAAGGCCCTCTTTCTCAAAAAGGTTAGCTATTAGATGAAAAGCAGAACTGATTCATATCCCTCAAATATAGTCCATCATGTGGAAAAAAATTGGGCTTGGAGCAAGGAAAAAGTATCGCTCCACTTAGATAATAGCACAAATTGTGGACCACGTGCTCAAAAGTGTGATATACTAAATCAAGAACTATCATCAAAGCTTGAAAATTTTATGCAACTACAAAAAATATTTCATAAATGACTTACTCCTGCAACTCAGGGATATAACCCTTCGCTCGAAAAACAGGCCTGAGCCCTTCAGCTGCGTATTTTGCTCCATCATAAGGTTCATAATTTGCAAAAGGTGGTTCACCTTCAAGCATCTGCATGAAATGAAGACGTGATTTAAAAGTAGCTTCAAATATTGTCATGTAAAACATAAATAATTAAGCACACAAAATTACCTCATACAAAATCATTGCAAAGGAGTAGACGTCAACCTTCTTCTCATACCTTCGATGTTTGAAAACTTCCGGAGCCATATAGCGATCTTTTTTAATTCCACAAGGAAGTTACATTTAGTTTTGTATAAGAATGAAAGTTAATGATTTAATGCTTTAAAAGAACTTCGAGAATACTCACAGCTCCCAGTTTCACCAGTCATCTTGTATACATCATGAGAACTCTGGACAGTGATAAGCTTACTCAATCCAAAATCTCCAACTTTTAAATGGTCAGCACTAGAGTTGACTAAAAGAACATTTCTGAAAAATCAAAATTAAAATTAATTCATAGACTTATAAATTCCAGATGTATGTTTTTTATGACACAATAGTCTCAAAGTTGTGGGATTTTAGGTAAAAGATGAGAGAAATATTATTGCTAGTAGCTTAATATTGACTTGATACAGATGACTCAATACTGATCCTTTCTAAGATACTCTAAATTAATATAAAAGATATTATAAGATATTTTATAATATCCAAACATTGTCAATCTTAAATAAAAGCAAAATTGGCTTCAATTTATTATAACTCATAACATACTAGTTTCCGGCCTGTCATCCATATTGAGAGGATATATTCATCTTGAGCTGGAAAATAACAAGCTTACCTTGGCTTTAGGTCTCTATGAATTATAACATTTGGTTCATTGTGAAGATAGGCCATTCCTCTACCAAAAATTCACAAAAAATATATTAGCAATTTAGCATAAAGAACAGAATAAATCAAGCTGAATTTTGCTAAAGCCTTCAGATTTGCAAATGATTTTGTCATGGTATTGGTAAGATACAGGATGCTTTAAAATTGCCATCGAGTGCTCAAAAAGACCTAGTTGGTTTCCTTAACACCGAGGAATCAATAATTACAAAGTGTTCAATCACTCTAAGATGGTTTAAGAAAAATATATACAAGATTTTACTTGTTTTGCAGCTTTTTTGAACAAGTTATACATTTTAGCCTTGTTCAATGGCTTTCACTGTTTTCTGTACAACTCATAGACAAAGACTAGTTCACTTGGTTACAATATTGCAGTGGAGAACTCAACACCTCCCAATGATGTTAAAAAGTTTGAGAACACAGAAAAAATTATTGTTCACATCATATTAGAGTTACTGCCATGCAATTTCTTACTGGAGTCAGTATTTTAACATTTGCTTCAAAGCATATCTCTAATCCTCATAAGAAAATTTTGGCTCAGTCAGAAATCAAGATACAGATCAATTGCAACCATAACATAGAGTAGTAAACACCCTATAAATGAATGAGACAGGACAAGAAAGTTACGGTACCATACCTGGCAATATCCATGGAAAAGTTGATAGCTGTTGAAGGATTAAGTGAACCTTTATCTTTGAGGTACTGGTGAAGATCACCCTATAAATGAATGAGACAGAAGTTCAACTTTAAAGAGAATCTCCATTAGTTTACTAGCCCTAAATTTAGGTTTAGAGTGCTTAATTGGAAAGAATTATATTTAATTTATATACCCCTCTTAGATACTCAGTAATTAACATGAGGGGCTTCCTGTCTGTAACAGCTCCAAGAAACTGAACTATATTGGGATGTCGAAGCTTCACCAACAAATTGACCTCATGCCTAAAGTCTTGACTGTTAAAAATTAACAAACATAATAAGCACATAGATTTATAGAGAGACAGAAGACAAGCCTTTGACACATAAGAGTTAGCACAAAAAACCTAGGAGCTAGGACAGAGAAAGTATGGATTGTTTCAGCAAAGGTGCCAGCTTAATTACAATTTTGTGCACCTCTCCCTTCCCTTCATTTAATTTCAACTATTTATTAAAAAAGACACGATTACATGATTGAATATATAATGGGTTTAGAATAAATCCTCTGTTCCAAGAGAGCAAATAGGTTCAACCTGAACAAAATATCTTCAACAAATTACTTGTTTGTACTTTTTCATATTAATCCCTTGTAAGACTTCAGAGGAGAAATTGATTTTAACAGATTCATCAGCCAAGCCACAATAATTGCAAACAGATGGAAGAATAATTGCAAACAGTTTGTGCAATCATAGAACATTTATCACAATAATTGCAAACTAGTAACAACGAATCGAAGAAAAATTAGAGATAAAAGAAAGGATCTCACATCACCATTCTATCTTCTGAAAGAGATGGAAGAATGCGCTTGACAGCAACTGGCGTTCCGCGCCAATGGGCTTTCAAAATTTCACCGAAAGATCCCTGCATGGATCATACATCATTGACATGAGACCAAAGCATCCAAATTTAGTTTATCAGTAGCTTACATACAAAAGTAAAAGTGATATTGCAAAAATACACCTGGCAAGTCAAAGCTCAAAAATAGCAGCCGATAGAAAATTGAGCGCATACCACTCATTTAAAAAAGAAAGAAAATACAGTGAAAGTAAACAAAAGTAGTAGCAAGAAGAAAACATTAATCAAGCAAAACTAAACAAAAGTAACAGCAGGAACACTACAAGCATACAAGAAAGAAAACTGAGGTAATTAACATAAATAACAAACATCTTTTTAATTCTTTTTCTCAATCAGAGATAAACAAAATATAACACCTTCGTCTGCCCTTGGATGAACATGCAACAACAAAACACCAAGGGAAAGAGAGTCCGAAACTAAGTGTAGTTATACAACCTGATCTTCACTGTCAGGACTGGAGGACTCACAACTTTAGGTCCCTAGACACAGCATAATGAATTACATAATAATCCATGTATACACTAAGATACAGTTGCAGAAGTGGAGCAGAGCAAAGAGTTTACTAAAACACAAAGCAAGTTTTGAAATAAATATCTCACCACTCTCTTAAATAAAACACTTTTTTTAAAGGAAAATCAAATATATTAATGAAATGGAGTACAGCGGTTACTCTAACATCCAGCCCATCACAAACGGATAACAAGTGAGCAGAAAACAAAGAAAAAGAGAATACAACCAAAATCCAAAAGAGTCCAAAACAAGGCCAGCAGAAACAAAGATGCCTATCTATCCAAAGAGAGGGAGAGTTCCATTATACTTCTCAATAAAACACTTTCAACTGTCCTTGAATGATCACCCAACAACAAAACACCATGAGAAAGACAACCGTCTGTTAAATGGAGCTCATATGACGGAAGAGAATTTGGGTAACTTAACGGTTTTGAGCTAAGGGATCAAAGGAGTTGAAATAATTAGAAGGACCAAGGTTCAAACTCTAGCGAAGGAGAAATTACTAACAATAACAACTAATATACTAACATTTGTCTATCCATAAAAAAATGGAGCTCATTTGGCCTATACTCATTGCCAAGACAGGGAAGACTCACAAGTCACAACTCTAGTTCTCTATGCACAATGTAATAATTCTCACGGAATAACCCTAATACAAAGAGTTGACCCTCTCGAATACAACTTAAAGTGATAGAACAAATGAAATGAAATGAATAAAACGCTCAAGGTGATGATACCTTTCCAATACGCGCAGAACTTGAGAAGTCAAGCTCAGAAGGATCAACTTCCCAATCACACTTGTTAGGCAACGGTGGCGGAACCGCCCTATGTTCAAAATGGCTTCCAGTTTGACCCTGCATCACCATAAAACCTAGAAATTACTCAACTAACCGAACAGAAAGAAAGATTCAAAACAAACAAAAAATAAAAACTCACATAAGACAATCCTCCATGCGATTTCAAAAGCTCGATTATATTACTCCTCTTAGATCCTTCTGCATCAGCCAAAGGCTAATCACGAAAAAACAAAACCTAAATTTTAATTTCAATTTCAATTTCAATTTTAACAATCAAACAGAAACACGTAAGAATAAAGAAAATCGGAATCAAATTACGGTGTTCTTCCAACGATCTTGCGCGTTGACATCGGCGCCGAATTCGATCAAGCATTTAGCAACCTCGGCCCATCCATGGAGAGAAGCGACATGAAGCGGAGTGCGGTTATCGTAATCGGTAGCATTGACAAGCGAAGGATCTTCTTGAAGAAGCTTCCGAACCGCAGCGACGTCGTTTTGGTGAGCGTGCCATAGTATGAGTGAGGTGCGGCTCACTCTCGCCTTTTCTTTATCTTTGCTGCTTCCTGAACTCATCCGTTAATTCGTTTCGCAAAAGATTCAAGATTTTCAGAGAAATGGTTATTCTCTTTTAACGAAACGCGAGTGCCAAGTATTTCTTTTTTCTTTTTTTCCTTTTTCGCTTGGTGCGTGTGGTGCGTGTGGGGTATACGCGTTGATGCCTCTTTATGTCCTTTCTATTTTTGTCATTATCTTGGTAGGAGTATATTACTTGGACGGATCCTTCAACCATCTTTTCCATTTTTCACTGTTTATTTATTTATTTGACTCAAGAAAATGTGGACAGGCACATTTTAACGCGTTATCCAAACTCTATGGAAATATAGAGTAATAAACATTATAGTAAGCTTTTTAAAACAATTTGTGTATGTATAAATGATAAATATGGGTCCACACGCAAGTGTTTTTTTTGTCTGTCCACACACAAGTATTTTTTTGGTCTGTCCACACACACAAGTATTACCTCTAATAAGTGACTATTTACCAATTTATTTATTGGATTGACTTTTTTTATTTTTTTTATAAAAAAAATGAATATACTACTATCAACTAATAAAAGACTCTCTATCCTATCACATCACGTTTTTATTTTTAAAATACTATTATGATTTTGTAGTATGAAATATTTTGATTTGATATTTGTGTAATATTTCTTTATACCGACGATACTTTAAACTCTTTTTTTAAATACCATTTTTTTTCTTTTTTTTACACACAATTAATAATAATTCTAATTTTTTAAACAATAACTATTTTCTATAATATTCTTAATTTTTTGTAATTTATTTAACTACTCTTTATGCAATAAACGACTAAGAGTATTTTTGACAAAATCATAATTGATATTATTTTTAACAAATTAACAAAGAGAGTATCTATTATTCTCGTCTTCCCATAGGAGGGAGGGAGGGAGGGAGGGAGGGAGGGAGAGAGAGAGAGAGAGAGAGAGAGAGAGAGAGAGGGAGAGAGAGAGAGAGAGAGAGAGAGAGAGAGAGAGAGAGAGATATTTCACATACTAAAAAAAGTGAATAAATGAGAGAGAGAGAGAGAGATAACTATTTCACATACTAAAAAAAGTGAATAAATGAGAGAGAGATGTTTTTATCCAAATATTTATTATCAAGTATTGAGAGTTATAATCTGGGTCTTACAGTTTGATAATTTTCTTTACACGTGACCTTAGTTTTCTCATATAGTTTATATAGTTGGATTGATCATTATATTCACAACCAAGCTCCACTTTCTCTCCCAGGATAGTATGATAGATTCCTTTGCTTTCATTAATGACTTCAACCAACAAGTCATCTTTAATCACTTTTGTGAACCTCACCTCATACATAACATCATGAAAGTAATTTTACTTTGAAGATTTCTCAAAAAATTTTGCAACAAATTGCAAAGCCTTTCTAGTTTCAAGTTCAAGATTGACCTTTTTCATCTCCTCAAACTTCTATTGTAAAGATGATTTTCTCATCTTAAGACCTATGATGTGTCCTTGCACATATAAGTTACTAGTCTTCAACATAGTTTTTATAGGAACAAATGCAAGGTTATTTTTATCTCCTCCACATTGAATAGTTGTGCTTTAAAGATTTTTCAATAGTTTTATGACTTTAAGGACAATTTATAAGATGTTTGATTGTTTATGAATATATAAAAAATAAATTAATAGAAAGTAAAATGAACTTTGGTACTTAACAGTTGAGAAAACTTGACATGGTTAGATTTCATTGACCTATTCTCAAGTAATATCATCAATCAATAATATAAGATCGTACCTGATCAGAGAGATCGTTGGCCCACTACGCGTCTGAGCTATCAAACGGTTGACTTGACGGGCAGAGGGGGATGTACCTGAAACACACTCTGATGCCAAAGTAAGGGACGGGCAGAGTGGTCACAAGTACAAAGAGAAAGGAGTAAGAGTTAGATTACCTGACCCTCTAGTGGAAGAGAGTATTTATAATGAGCCCCCATCGCAGGCCAACGATTACTATGTGTTGGGCTGCACTGTCAGGCCCAACGGTGGTAACTGCTAGGGCTGACGTGGCATCGTGGAGACCAGAACGCGGTCTTCGCCCTAGTGTAACTGTTCCATGCTATCCGGGAGGCGGAGGATTGAATAATCAGGACACGGATAGTTACCTGATGACGTGTCTCCGCGTAGGGGACACGTTGAGAACGTGAGGGAGGTCAGAGGAGCTTCCCGAGCTGGATGGGTTCTGCCCGACCGTGGGGCAGAAGAAGGGCGAGTCGAACAACTATGAGGATCCTGCTTGACTGCCATTGGTCCGTGCCTGACGGGAGAAGATGTTTTGCCCGACAGGTCTCTGCCCGACGATGAGCTCTTATTGGGTCTTCCAACCTGGTGGGGTTTGGGCCTGCTCGACTATGGGCCAAGCGTCGGCCCAGTCCAGAATAATATACAATTATAATAAGCTATTAGTATTACCGTTCATCGCTCCCATCACAGCTCATGTTTGAGTCAACGACGTGAGATTAATTGTATTACCTAATAGATGATCTCTCATCCTATTAACCAATACAAGAGCATTAAACTTTGACAGGGAGTATATCACCCGCCCAACATGGAAATGCTTAATATAGAGTCTTTTGTAAATGTGCCTTAAAACCTTTGTTGATGAAGAGAAAGAAAATATATTTTGAAGATTGCATTTACTACGAAAATCAGACGAAAAGTCGAGGAAAAAATCGGTTGATGAATAGTGGCGTCCATACGGTGAATAGTGTTGTTCGTACGGTGAATAGTGTTTTGAGTTTTCGAGTTTTTTTGATTCGGTCCATGGATCCATCTGACTTTGGGTTTTTTTTGTTGGGTATTTGCTATTATAAATATGTATCTCTTATATGCTTGGTGTGTGACAATCTTAGAGTTTACACCAACAAGAGAGAGCAAGGGTTTAAAGGTATAACATAGGGTTTCAACTATGCACAAAGAAAACCTTGGATTACACCTTGGGTTTGAGTGATTCATATATTGAGAGTTGGAAAGGTAGGGAAACACTTGGTTAGAAAATAGGGTTGTTCTTGGGCGCCTTCAGGGTTGTTCTTGGGAACTGAAGGCGAAGGCTATTTTCTTGTAACTCATCTGTAATCTCTTGTAAAAACTTTCTGCGTATAGTGAATTTGAAAGCTGCTCTCTCCCCCAGAGTATATCGTTTGATCGAACTGGGTAAACAAACCTTCAGTTTTTCTTATTTTATTCTGTTATATTATATGTGTACCATTTATTTTGGTTGCTATTGTTATTTGCCTCACAAATTGATATTAAATTTTATCGTAGTTCATGATAAGATTTACAATAAGTGGTGCGGTGAGTATGGAGCAAAGAGACATTATTGACAAGTGAGCACCATGGTTAGTAGATGGTAGATCGAGAAATTTTCTGGTAACAACGACTTCGGGTTATGGAAAGTTAAGATGCAAGCAATTTTAATTCAAGAGAAGTGTATCGATGCTTTGAAGAGTGAATCAGTGATGCATGCAGGGCTTACACAGGTACAGAAGACTGAGATGGTGGATAAGGCCAGAAATGCCATTATCTTATGCCTCAGGGATAAAGTTCTAAGAGAAGACGTCAGGGAGAAAACTGCGGTTGCTATGTGGACAAAACTTGAATCATTATATATGACAAAGTCTTTGGCTCATAGGTTGTATCTGAAACAACAACTCTATTCATTCTGAATGATGGAGAACAAATCCATAGTTGAGCAGCTCATAGAATTTCACAAGATTATTGATGATCTTAAGAATATTGAAGTGAAGATTGATGATGAGGACAATGCTTTACTCCTGTTGAGTTCATTACCTAGATCCTTTTAGCACTTTAAGGATGCCCTTCTTTATGGTAAGGAAGGTACTATTACTTTGGATGAAGTCCAGAAGGCAGTGAAATCCAAAGAAATTTTAAAGTCGAAATATTTGAAGATTGAAGATAGTGGTGAAGGCTTAAATGTGTCAAGAGGAGGAGGTGAGTGTAAAGGGATGTCCAAATCAAAGAGGTCCGACAAGTCAAAGGTAAAATGTTTTAATTGTCAGAAAATCGGTCACTTTAAAAGGGATTGTCCTGAAAGAAAGGTCAATGAAGATTTTGTTCAAGCTGTAGTTGCATTGGGTGAGAAAAGTTATGAGGATGTTGAAGCACTAGTAGTATCGAGTTTAGAAACTTAAGATAGTTAGGTCATTGACTCAGGTTACTCTTATCACATGTGTCTAAGAATATAATACTTTGAAACTTTGAAGATGGTGCAAGGTGGATTAGTTCGCCTTGGTAATAATAAGGCATGCAAGGTTCATGGTATTGGTATGGTCATATTTAAAATGTTTAATGATCGTGAATTTCTTATTCATAATGTGAGGTATGTTCCATAACTCAAGCGAAATTTGTTATCTATAAGTATGTTTGATGATCTAGGCTATTGTACTAGAGTTGAACGTGGAATGTTGAAGATTTTGCGTGATGAATTGATTATTGCTAAAGGGTCTAAAATATGTGGTTTATATATTTTAGAAGGTTCAAATGTTATTATTCATTCATCGTTAACTAGTGGAGGCTTTCGTGACAAGGAAGAGCTATGGGATTTGAGTTTATGGCGTTATGAATACGTTAAGAAAGTTTCATAGGAGTACAATGAATTTTGTAGAAATCAAGGGATAAAAATGCATGTTACCACTGAGTTGTTATTGAGTTTTTGGGGAAGAGTTGGGGTTAAAACAACTTACTTGGTTGGAAGAGAATTTCTTCAGAAGAAGAATAGTGAAAACCAAGGGAGAAACTATAACGGAGAAAACTTAGTTTGAGATGGAGTTTCCTACTATGGATGCTAGCAGTAGTAAGAGAACGGTTATAGAGATCTCTGATTATCATTTGACTCGTGATAAGATAAGGAGGATTATTGTAGCATCTCAAAGGGACAGTTATGCTAGCCTTGGATATTATGTTTTTAATGTGGTTGAAGGACTGCAAAATAAAAGAAGAAAAACCTTCAGGGAGG